TCTCTCTCTCTCTCTCTCTCTCTCTCTCTCTCTCTCTCTCTCTCGTGCTCCAAAGCCAATCCCCCAGTCTCATCCCCAGCTCTTTAGCAGAACACCTGCTGGGACCTCTCCTCATTCTCTGCTTTAATTCCTTAGGGTACTAACTAAGAAGATCCTGGCAGAACACCCTGTTTTCCTCCCTCTGATGAACCCCTCAGCCCCACCCATCCACCCATTCTCATTCCTAAGTATCAGCTCCCAATACCTAGAAACACCTTTTGCCTGGAACCCCTAGCAGTCACACATATCAGGTTCCCAGCAGAATTTCCTGCCAGAAAACACACAGCTACCACATTCTCCTAAGAACCAGACAGAACAACAGAAATTAAGGAAAAAATTCCCACCCTACAAAGGCGATGCTAGGTATCAGCATCTAGAATTACACTCTTCCTAAACCCAGATGCCTAGACGCCCACGTAAAAACACAATCCATAATAGCCAGGACAATAAGTCTCCCCTAGAGACCAGAAACTCTACCACAGCAAGCCCTGAATCTTCCAACATAGCTGAAGCACAAGAGAAAAGACCATAAAATAAGCTTTATGAATATGATTGAGGTCCTAAAAGAAGAAATAAATAAATTCCTTAAGAAATCTATAAAAACACAGACAGTTGAAGGAAATGAATAAAACAGGTGAAGACCCGAAAGTGAAAACAGAATCAATAAAAGAAACCCAAACTGAAGGAAATCTGGAAATGAAAAATTTAGGAACTCTAGCAGGAACCAGAGAGGTAAACCTCCCCAACAGAATACAAGAGATGGAAGAGGACATTGAAGACATGATAGAAGAAATGTATACCTTGGTCAAAGAAAACGTTAGCTCTAAAGACTCCTGGTGCAAAACATCCAGAAAACCTTAGACACTACATAAAGACGAAATCTAAGAATAATGGGAGTAGAGAAGGGGAAAGAAACTCAGGTCAAAGGCACAGAAAACATTTTCAACAAAATTATAGAAGAAAACTTTTATAACTTAAAGTAGCATATGCCTGCTATGGTATAAGAAGAATATAGAACACCAAACAGTTTGGGCCAGAAAAGAAAATCCCCGCAGCTCCTAATAATAAGGACACTAAATGTACAGAACAAAGAAAGAATATTAAAAGCTGCAAGGGAAAAGACCAAGAAACATACAAAGGCAGACCTATTAGAACAACACAAGACTTCTCAGTGGAGACTCTAGAAGCCAGAAGGGTCTGAACAGATGTGCTCAGACCACAGATGCCAGTTCAGACTACTGTTCCCAGAAAAGCTTCCAGTCACAAGTGATGGAGAAAATAAGATATTCCATGATTAAGACCAGATTTAAACAATAGATATCTATGAATCCAGCCCTACAGAAGGTGCTAGAAAGAAAACCCTAACCTAAAGAGGTTAACCACACCCAAG